TGTGGACTTCAACTCCCAGAATTCTGGGAGTTGAAGTCCACACATCTTCAAGTGGCCAAGGTTGAACAACACTGCTTTAGACCTACTAATATGTCAAGTTATGATTGACCTAGGCCACAGTTCTGCCCTGCATAGACATCTGTTCCTTGCTGGTTTTCCCCACACAGAAAAGAGCAAAAAGCAGACTTAAATGCGAAGTCTCCTAATAATGACCTCCTTCATGATTGTGGGAAAACTCCTTTCTCTTAATCTTAAACAGTGCAACCACCAACCAAAATGGCCCTCTGAAGCTGCTCCCCTTTCTCTCCCCGTTCAGGTCTAGAAGGGAAATAAGCGTGCACACGCACACACACACACACACACACTCTCTCTCTCTCTCTCTCTCTCGGGTATCTGAAGATCTAGATTGGTCTTGTGATGCCCCACATGTTGAAACCTCCCCCAAACGACTCTGTTCTGTAAATCTTGGCCGACTCGTATCTAGCTAGAAATGAAGCCAAACCGCGCAAGTTCGGTCTTCTTGGAAGCTGCTCGTATATCTCTGCCTTGGGAAAATCAGCAGCCAGTTCAAACCTAGTGGTTTAAAACAATCTGAATTTAGATTCCCCAGCAGCTGGAAGGCCAGGTTTGAGCCCCATTTCTCTTCCGGCGATCAGCACGTGCCCTAAAACCAGGAGCCAGGACAGATCCGAGCCTTTGCATTGCTTTTACCTCCTGCAGGAGCAACTTAGAAAAGGGTGTCTTTGGAGCCCCGTCAGTTTGGGCAAGGGGAACAGGTCACTGCTAGCTGGGGGACTTCAAGAGCCAAGTTAATGCTGCCCCCCTTACCCCATCCTCACCAGGGGCCCTCAGCACCCTGCGGAGAGCCAGGGAGGTGGCCTTGAAGGAAATGTTTCGAAACCGTTATGCAAAGAGAGGACAGAAGCATTCCTTAAGGTAGTCCAAGAAACTGATTTAATTACAGGTAGTCCTTGCTTAGCGATCACGATTGGGACCAGCAACTCTGTCACTAAGCGCCAGATATCATGTGATCACAATGGACTTATGACCTCACTTCTGCCACAGTCGTTAAGTAAATCATCCACGGTCATTAAGCACGATGTCACGTGACCACAACTTGATATATTGCTGGCGGCTTCTCCACTGACTGCTTGTCGGAAGCTGGCTGTGAAGCTTGCAAATGGTGATCACGTGACCAGAGGATGCTGCAACCGTCATAAATGCGAGGACCCGGTCATAAAGTTACTTTTTCAGTCCCGTCATAACTTCAAATGGTTGCTAAAGGGGCAGTCATTAAGCAAGGACTACCTGTAATTAAACCAGAGTTTGGTTAAAGATGTATAAGCATGTTGCATGAACACAACAGCAACAGAAGTCTGCTGTTAGCATGAGAGAAAGTCCTGTGTGGGCTTCAGCTGCTGTCCACTTTGGGGGATTCTGCAGCCTCTGATGATTTCCTGGAGGGAGGTATCAAGCCCCGCACAGGTGGGCAAAATCAAGGAAGCCAGAACTGCAAAGATTTCATCAAGATGCCTTTAAGGCTAGTC